CCAGCACAGTTCTCTTGCACAAGGGACACCCCTGTGTCCTCCATGTCCTAGCAAGCAGTAGGCCCAGCTTGCTTCAGTATGTCAGTCATCATCCCAGGAGTCTTCTGGGCTCCTGCATTTTGACAGGCACGGTGCATTTTGAGGAAGACCTAAGCACTGCCTGTGGAGTCTGATCCTGCTCATGGCCTGTTCTGGCTTTACCCAGTGGGAAGAGCGAGGGCCGGCCTCTGCTGGTTTTAGTTCCTCCAGGATAGTGATTCCTGCTGCTGCAGTTGACCACTTCCCTCCTTTGGCAAAAGCTGGGCCCTGACTCCAGCAGTATGTGAAAGCAGAAAGGACAGAGAAGTGGACGCGCTCTCAGCTCGGGGATTGTGCAGGGGCTGTTTGGATTTCCCAGAGTTACATCTGCTGTCTGGGCCCAGAGGCTCCTTTCCCAGCAGATATGATTCATCTAACAGCAGTGACAGCCACATGAGAGTATCTGCACAACGCTTGGGTACCCATGTATGACCACATAGCTACAATAAAAGGTCATGGCTAACTATGAGCCCCTTCTCTGAGACTCAGCGCAAACTTTGGCTTCATAGTTCAGAATCATGTGGAAGAGTAGAAAAAACAAAGACTTGGGTTCAAGTCCTGCCTCCGTCCCTTCCCTTGCTAGCTGGATGACCTTTCATTAATTCACAAATAGTTTCAATGCCAACTATGCACTAAGCACTGACCATACAGAGGTGAATGAGACAGACAGGCCCTACTTCCCTTCATTGGACTTACTCTCTAGTAGGGAGGCATGTTGTTGTTGACCAAATTACCAATTGTGATAAGTATTAGAAAAGAAATGAGCAGATTATGTGGAGATAGAAATAAGGTAGGGTGGTTGGAGACAGTCTTTCTGAGGGGGTAATTTTCCAATAAATACTAAAAGCTAAGGTAGAGCCGACCATGGAGAGGGCCTAAGATGGGAAAGAGCTTTCTTGGCCTGATGAGAAACTGGAAGGAGGCCAGAACTACTGAAACATGGTGGGAGGGGAGAGAGTGGTGACAAACAAAGTAGAGGGAAGGACAGAGGCCAACAGGAGGGGT